GAGCAGGCATTTAATAAAGACTGCTGAATTAGTGAATCATTTATTCAGTAACAAATAATACACAATACAATAAGACACAGGTAAATCTTGAATTAAAATGACTCTTTCTAAGTACCGCTTTCTTCCCCCACTCTACTCCCCACAAAGAGGACCCATACAACTCACATAAAAGGGTAATAAAGAATTGGAACATAATGCCACCATGGGGGAAGTTGCGAATCTAAGGCCTAGAACAGGTTCCAAGTCATCGCTATTAAAAAAGCCCTAGACATGTTCTAACATGCTGTCTTACCAGAAATACCACAGTCAGTCTCACAACTACCATTAATGGACTCATAATGCTGTCTGCAATAACCACCCCCTTACAAATAAATGACCTCAAATGACTGATGTCTCTCCCCATACTCTCACGCTTGCTCACTCACACTGACAGCTTGTATGCTAATGCTGGGAAAGCCTAAGTCCCATGTCATTTGCTGTATGGTGCCCTTATTTAAGAGCCTCACTTATATAGTGACAAATATGATATATAGATATATATAGATATATATAGATATATACACAAATATACTCCCATATATTTCCCATATATTTGGGGGGCAAAGAACATAATTCTTATCTCATGAGATTGAAATATAAAATATAAAAAGCAATTCAGTTAAAAAATATCCCTCAACATTTCCAGATCCAATGATCAAAAGAAGGTATTCATATTCATCTAATATATAACAAATCTGGTGATAGAGTAATGAAATGCTAATTTATGCTTGTGGAAAGATAGATAAGGACAAACTAAATAAAAGATAAAGGATTCCCAGATGTACTAAAGAAATTTTTCTTTCAGGTGACTACAATCCTTTATAGACAGTAGCTATTTAATACAAATTTATTAAACTGAATGCTACAAAGCAGACCAATACTATGATTACTTACTGACAGTCACAGATCATCAGAGCTAGGATGTTCCTTAGAGATTATCTAGTCCAGGAGCCAAGATGGTGAAGTAGAAAGAAGCAATGCAGCTGTTCCTGTGCACTACTTCTCCAAATAGACGTACAAAATGCACCATATTAAATGTGGATGGAAAAATCCAGAAAAAGTCACAGTGAGTTTACGGTTTCTCAGACCCAAACTTAGGTCAAGAACTTGCAGATATCAGACCAGGGGAGAATAATAAGATTTTGCTATGCATCAAATCTCTTTGGAAGCAATGAAAGCTTACAGGTCTCCAGCCTCTCCCTGAGATCCTAGAATAATACAACACTCAACACTTCAAGAAAGCAGCAGCAGAACCAGCCCAGAACTTCCCTCCAGAAGTGTGGAAGAGCCTAACCCTAACATCAGGTATGAAGTCAGGAAGTAGGCTAGAAGAGTACGCAACAAACAAACAAACAAAAAGAACCCCAGCATAATGAGCTATTATGGTGTTAGGGATGCTAGAGACACAAATGCAAAGGAAAATGACTCCAAAACATCTATAAGCAAAAGTTTTGGGTTTTTTGAGAGTCAAAAAATGTTTTATAAAAGGAATGAGAGTGCTTGAGGAAAAAAATTGGAAAAGAAATGATAGCTATGGAAGAAAGAACTGGAAAGGGAATTTAAAGTTTGGCACAAGAGGTATAAAACTTTGCCCAAGCAAGAAACTACTTGAAAATTAGAACAGATCAATTAGAAGCCAATGACTCCATAAGGCAATAAAAATATTAAAACAAAATCAAAAGACTAAAAAATTGGAAGATCCTGTAAAGTATCTCACAGCAAAAACAAGTAACTTGGAAAACAGATCAAGGAGAAAAAAATGGAAAAATCATTGGACTATCTGAACACCATGACCATTAAAAAAAAAAGACTAAGCCTAAACATCCTATTTCAAGATGTCATAAAAGAAAACTGCACAGATCTCTTAGAACCAAAGGGCAAAGTAGACATAGAAAGAATCCACTGGTTACCTCCTGATAGAAATCTCAAAATGAAAACTCCCAGGAACATCACAGACAAAATCCAGAACTTCCAGGTCAAAGAAAAATACTGCAAGTACTAAGAAGACACAGTCAGGATCACACACAATTTAGCAGTCACCACTACAAAGCAGCAGGATCCTGGAATACAATATTCCAGAAGGCAAAGATTATAATCTTATAGCCAAATATAATAACTTAGCAAAACTGAGTATAATGTGGGGGGGGAGGGGGCGCCGCGAGTGGACCGTTAATGAAATAGAAGATTTCCAAGCATTCCTAATGCAATCACTAGAGCCAAATAGGAACTTAAAGGTTCAGAGATAGGAGGGAAGAGAAGCATAAAAAGGTAAGCATGAAAAAATAATGATAAAGAGACTAAACAAGGATAAATTGCTTATTTTCAAATATGGGAAGATGATGCATGTGTCTCCTCTGAACCCTAGCATCCTCAGGGTTCATAGAAAGAGTTCAATTACAGAAGGCCTGGGAATAATTCTGTTGCTTTCATGATCTTAAGAATGGAATAAGAGGGGGTGGGGGTGGAAGACAGAAAGGAAAGGAAGTTTAGGGAAAATTACCTCACATAATCAGAGTGGACAGGTAAATAGCAATACAATCAAAGAGGAAGAGATGAGCAGGAGTAGCTGACACCTGAATCTCACTTTCATCTAAACTTGTCAAAAAAAAGGAAGAATACACACACAGACACAGACACAGATGGGTACCCCCCCCAAAAAAAAATTCATCCAACAAGATAATAGGAAGGAAAGAGGTTAGAAGGGGAGAAGTTAGATTAAGGAAGGGATCAGTCTCATGCAAAGCAAACTCCAAGGACATACAAAACTACTTATAACTCTTTTTGAAGTGGCAAAGAATGGGAATCTGAGGGAGGGCTCATAAACTGGAGACTGGATGAACAAATTATGCAAATATAATGGAATATGATTTGCTCAACTCTTATGAGCATACTCTTATCAGTAATGAGCAACCAGGATTCCAGAGGACTAATGATGAAACATGCTACCCACCTCCTGATAGGTGAAAAATTCAGAATTCAGAATGAAACAAATATATTTTTGACATGGCAAATGTGGAAATTTGTTTTGGTTGCCTCTATATGTTTGTAGTTATATTCTCAGGGGGGATAAGGGATGAGGAGGGAAGATAAGAAGGTGGATCTTGGCTGATTAGAACAAAACATTTTTTTAAAAATAGAGATTATCTAGTCCAATCTCCACTTTAAAAATCAGGAGAAAACTAAGAGCAGAAAGGGAACTTCGCTTACTCAAAATTACACAGTGATTCAATAACAGAATACAAACCAGGTTTTTCAGTTCCAAGTTCAGTGTTCTTAGCCTACGCCATGATGCCTCAACTAAGGCTCTGGGTGTACTTCACTTTTTATAGGACCTGTTGGCTTTACATCTTACAAGATCTGGAAAAACTATAACTATGTGCTCTTACACAAAAGACAGCACGGTTTTGTCCCACTCATGAACAGGAACTATAGCATTTCCCCAGATTATCTTTTTGCCTAGGTGGATCATATGAACAGATGACTGGAGACCCCACGGCAGCGGCATGATTTGTAAACATAATCTTGAGGATAAATTGCTTTGAAATTTTAATGGACTTCAGTTGGTTGGTAAACTTATGGGCACAGCACATTTCTTCCAATATACTAAAAGCCCTGCTTTTGTCCCTCGGAATGCTGTATACATTTATCACCGCACTTACAGTCTATCTTTTGATTGTTACATAACCTACACTCAGGGATCAAGCTTCTGGGTAATGCATAAGCTTTAGCCTGGTCCTCTGAAATGACCAGACTGCACAAAGCAGGTAGGGTGGTTAGAATCTGAATGCTTTCTAGCCACCACTTGTGTGGAGCTAAGACACAATAGCTCACATGGCTAAGGATCAGAATATCACCCTGGATTTAGGTATTTTCAGGTATGTGTATTCATTATAATAGCCAAATCAAGTTATTACATGCAGAATTCAAGAATTCATCCAGTCTTTGTTGTTTCTTCTACTTTGAAAAAGAAAAATGACAAATGAATTTGAAGTACGTATACCCCTGAGTTATATTTATGATGTAACTCATTTTCACCCCGCTGCAGTGCCAGGAAACATAAACAAAAACTATACCACATCTTTCTCTCTGCTATTACAATACAAGCTACCTGGACACTTCACCCCCACTTCTGAATATACTACTTATACATATGAATGTGGAAATCAGTCAGTGTGTAGTGATATAAATACCAAGAGTCATCAAATTCGCTTCTCAGCTCTGTAAAAATTAAATATAAATCATCTAACCACTCTTGGCCTCAGTTTCCTCAGCTGTAAAACAAAGGTAAAAATCCCTATTCTATTTACCTCATAGTACCACTGCAAAGATCAGACAAGAGTAAAGCACTCTATCACTATAAATACTGTATATATGGGTAGGAATTTATTACTCTGTACTGGCCCAAGGATATACGCTTGAACTTCTTAAATAAATGCCTGAAGTCAGCCTAATTTTTTTTTGTCATTTGGTGCTTTCTCATATACACAGGACACTATCTGCAGATCCGGTAGCTGCTATAACACGTCCTAAGCAGTATAATATGCCTACGTGTATGCAAAATTAATTTTAAAATAGAAGTAAGCCTCTTCTGAGTTATTTTCTTGCCGTCAATATGATAATCATCTTGCTTTAAATATAAGGGGAATTCAAAATATCCTCATTACAAACTCAACCACCTAAGTAGGTTTCAACTTATGCTCCAGGCCCACCTGCTTTAAATGGGGAGACAGCACCATCTTGTGGATACTTCAGGTACTGCTGCTAATGAGACTTTTCCCATTAACTGAAAAAATTCATTGAAGATATTTCTTATTGCTCTAACTGCTCCTATACATTTTGGGTACAACACAATTTACACTTTATAATATTCATTTCCTGAGATTCAAATGAAAGATTTTCAGAAACATATATTTTGTATAATGAGGCATATTTGTATACAGAGTAATGTTTGCACTACTTACCTTGTGCTCAAATGGAGCTCCATAATAGCCATCATTTAGCCCAAAAATTATTTCATTTTGGTTGCGGGCATGAATCTAAAAGAAAAAAGATATATACTAAAATAGGTTAATTAGTTCTTCTTATATCTATTAAGTTTTTTCCAGACAGACAACAAAAATAAAAAGAGGTCCCAATAACATTTTTTTTTAATGAATACTGCTCCAGGTCATTATGTGATTTAAACAAAGAAAGTCACTTTAGTTGACAACCTTGTCCTCTGGAACTCTCCACTCTCCCATGCTCTTCATCTGAAGACCCTCTGACATCATCTCCCTCTCTTTCCTTCTCCAATTTCAGACAGAGGTGGTGGCCCTTCTCCTTGTCTAGGACATCCCTCTAACATGCACTTAATCTCGTCTCCTCCCATCTATTCCAGAAGCCAACTTCCCCAATTATCCTCTCTCTCACTTCTTTAACCTCTTCCTATCAACTAGTTTTCCTACTGGCTTCAAACATGCCCAAGTCTCCCCCAACGATAAAAAAAACTTCACTAGACTCTACCATCCCTCAAGCTATCATCCTATATATTTCCTCCTTTTCCATTCAATTCCTTGAAAAAAAACTGTCTATACTTGCTGCCTTTACTTCCTCTCCTCTTACTCACTCCTCAATCTTTTGCAATCTGATCTCCTCAGTCAACAGAAATTGCTCTCCCTAAAGTTATCAATGGTGTTTTAACTTTCAAATCTGATGGTCTTTTCTCAGTCCTCATTCTCATCTTATTTGCTGCACTTGACACTGTTGATCAATCTTTCCTCTGGATACTCTCCCCATCTGAGTTTTTGTGGCACCTCTCTCTCCTAGTTGTCTTTTAACTGTCTGACCACTCCTTCTCAGTCACCTTTGCTGGCTCCTCATCCATATTATACCTCCCAATAATGGATGTGCCCCAGATTTCTGTCCTGGGTCTTCTTCTCTTCTCCCTTTATACTCTTTTTTGGTAATACATCATTTCCCATGGGTTTTACTATCACCTCTATGCAAATGACTCCAAGAGCTATCTATCCAGCCCCAGTGTCTCCTCTGAGCTTTATGCCCATATCATCAATTACTTATTAGACATTTAAAACTGGACATCCTGTATGTAGCCATCTTAAACTTAATATGTCCAAAATCCAACTCATTCACTATCTTTCTCTCCAAATCCTTCCCTCTTTCAAACTTTCTGCCAAAGGTACCAACATTTTTCCAATATTTCAGGTTCATAATGCTGGCATCATCCTGGACTCATACCCTGCAATCAGAGAAACTGGCTTTTCCTCTGTTTCTCAAAGATGACACTACATCTCTTGTCACCATGATTTTGCACTGGTTGCCCCTCCATGCCTGGAATGCATTCCCTCCTTATCTCTGCTTTAGAGTCCTTCCCTTCCTTTAAAATGGAACTCAAGTACCATTTTTTTTTTAGGAAATGACTGAATATGTAAAGAGTTGAAGGTATCATCAGAGTTACCAACCTGGAAGACTAGAAGGATGGTGGTACCCTCAACAGAAACAGAGAGGTTTGGCAGAGAAGTGAGTTTGGGGAAAAAATAGAAACACTTCTGTTGGACACATTAAGTTTTAGGTGACCATGGTACATCCAGTTTGAAACAACTAATAGGCTCTTGTAAGATGTGACACTGATGCTCAGGAGAGACTAGACTGAATATAATAAGTGAGAGTCACTTGCACATAGATAATAAAGCACATGAGAGCTGATGAGGTTACTAAGTTACAGTGTAAAGAGAAGAGCTTAGGACAGAGCACTGTGGTACATATACCATTAAGGGGCAGGAAATGGATGATAAACCAACCAAAGAATCTATAAAGGAAGAGACAGATGAGATATTGTGGAGGTACAACTGACTAGATCTGGCAACTGATTAGATACAGAAGTTGAAGGAGAAAGAAGAATCAAAGATGAATTTGAGGTTATGAACCTCAGAAATTGGGATGATAATTGTACACTCCACAAAAATAGGTAAGTGTAGGTGAAGGGCAGGTTTAAAGGAGAAGATAAATGAGTTTCACTATGAGGTATCAGTGGGACACCAATGTGAAGATAGTAATCAGGCAGTTGGAGATGCAAAACTGGAGTCCTGGCTTAGAGCTAAACGAACAGAAATAGAAGACATCTGTGTAAAGGTGATGAATGGGGTGGGAAGAAATGATCTCATCAAGGAAGAAAGTATAGAAAAAAAGATAAGACGGCCCACGACTCAGCTTCAGAAGGATCACTGTCAGCATAGAGAAGATAATACAACAAGAGAGACCTATTCATATATCTGTATTTATTCATTTTATATTTATGCAATATAAACTCATATGTATATTTTCTCCTCTATTAGAATGTAAGCTCACTACAAGTAGGAATTGTTTCATTCTTTGTACTCATATCCTCAATGCCTACCACATTATCTGAAACACGGTAGCTCAATAAATGATTGCTGACTGACAGCATGCAGTCAGTGGCAATGCAGCAGACAAGCTAACAGAGTAATTAGAACTATGTGTAAACATCAATCCAAAAATTACCTGCTGACCCACGTATTTTAGTCCATCCAGAGAGACTTTCCACTCAATCAGCAGCTGACAGAGGTCCTTCTTTCCACCCCAGATCCTTACCACAAAACAGGATACTGATGTGTCAAGATGGTCAGGCATTATTCCAAAATCAAGACTCCTCCAGGTTGGATTCTATTGATGGGGGAGGGGGGGAAGCATAAAAGTAAAAGATAACTTCTTTATAATTATTTCAGTCAAGCTACAAAATACTGTCACTTTAAAAACTGAACAGTCTTTGGAATACATTAACAAGTCACTAAATGAAATAATAAGATATTCCAATTAACACCCAAGAGATTTTACAACACTATTCATAAAAAACATCATCAAAAACATACGACACCTCATGTAGCTATAATCATCAGGGAATGAAATGCTTCCAGGAAGTAAATTTTCCAGGCAACTAAAACCTACCCTTTTAAAATTACTAAAACTTTTTTCTTATAAAATGTATTTAAGAAAAACCTTTCTAAAAATAATAGCTCTAAGAAACGACAAGCAAGATGATTTCAGAAAAACCTGCAAAGACATACATGAACTGAAGCATAGTGAAGTGAACGGAACCAGGATAATATTGTACACAATAACAGTAATATTGTTTGATAAAGAACTGTGAATGACTTAGCTATTCTCAGCAATACAATGATCTGAGACAATCCCAAAGGACTGATGATGAAGCATACTATCTATTTGCCTCCAGAGAAAGAACTAATGTGGTTTGAATACAGACTGAAGTATGTTATTTTTCACTTTCGTTCCTATATTGTTTCTTTTATTTGAGTTTTCTTGTACAAAATGACAAATATGTAAATGTTTTACATAACTGCACATGCATAACCAACATCTGATTGCTTACCATCTCGGGGAAGGGGGAGGAAAGATAGAATATGCAACTCAAAACTTTAAATAAAAATGTTAAAACTTTAAATGTTTAAATGTTAAAGTTAAAACTTTAAATAAAAATGTAAAAAAAAAGCACTGTGAGACATGTCAAATAACAATTATCAGTCCCATGTTACAGATAAAGGAAAAAGAGACTGAAAGATAAATCACTTGCCCAAGGTTATACTCTCTTGGCTCTGTGCATTTTCTCTAGCTGTCCCTCATGCCTAAAACACTCTCCTTCCTCCACTCTGCCTACTGACCACCCTGGCTTCCTTTAAGTCCCAATTAAAATCCCTTCTTTTACTAGAAGTCTTCTCCAACCCCTCTTAATTCCAGTATTTTCTTTCTTTTAATTATGCCCTATTTATCCTGTATGTAGCTTGCTTTGTATATATTTGTTTGCATGGTGTCTCCCGGATTAGATTATATGCTCCTTGAGGATAGGAACTATCTTTTGCCTCTTTTTGAATCCCCAGCATTTAACACAGCCCCTGACACACAGTGGGGGTTTAACAGATGTTTACTGAATGAATGAAATGGTGGAACAAGAACTCAAACCTGGGTTTCTTGAGTCCCTATATATAGTATACTTTCTAATATTCCATGATGACTCTAACAAAATATATATCTGCCTTAATAAAGAATGTTAAACACAATTTAACCTGTTTTTGGTTGCAGAGTCAACATTACGAACAACTGTGGTATAATGGAAAGAAAAACAGGTTTGAATATCAGCTTTACCACTGTGTTATCCTAGGCTAGCCACTTTACTTTTCTAAGCTCCGGTTTATTCCCATGTAAAATGAGGGGATATATCATTTCCAAGGCTACTGCATGATCTTTAACTTTTTCATTCATAATTGTAATATTCATTATTCTACTAAGCTATAATAGTTTCAATGGCTAATGAACTATGTACATAAGCATAAATAACCTTACAAATATCCCTAGAGGGCCCTCACAACTAGGCTTTTTTCAGGTTGTATTACATCTGTTTCATTCCAGTCAGACATCAATTCCATTTTATTCATTTTTTTTTTCCATTTAGAAGGAGGAGGAAGAGATGGAAAACAAAAGGAGAGGGAAGGGGAAAGGCAAGAAGAAAAAGAATGACAAAATCAAGCCAAGCAAATTTACAAATTAGCCACATCCAAAACATGTCTCATTCTATATCTTGAATCCACCACCTCTCAAACATTTTTTTTTAAACTGCTATCAAAGTCTACTTAAAGCAACATTTCCCAGAGTCAGGCTAAGGCACATGACTACCCGAGGCAAGAAGTGAAAATTATGCCTCCTGTGCATTGTCCAATGGAGGCTCAAAGTCTTCACATGAAACATGAAAAATCATAAAATACATGACATTTGCTATGCTAAGGAGAACAGAATTCTCAGGCATTAAAAACATACCTAGAGTAAAACCTACATAACTACCACTGTATCCTTTGATCAAATCATCCTGCTGCTAGGACAATATACTGTGGAGAGACCAATCCAGACAAGAATATTCATGGCAACACTGTGATCATTTAAAAAAAAAAAAGAATCCATGTGTTCAATGACTGTGTAATGACTGAAAAAACTGGCATGTGTACCTAATGAAATATTATTCTGGCAAAAGAATGACAATTGCTGATCTATATTGATAGAGGGCATTTCTTCATCCCTACACCAACAAAATCATAAGTCCAACCCCTAGCTCTAAAAAAATGATAGCTAAGAAGAACAAACTGGAGAAGAAAATGGCAAACTACTCCAGTATCTTTGACAAGAAAACCCCAGAGCACACATGACTGAAACAACTCAAGAACATGAAAAACAAAAACAAAATTTATGGGTGTTGCTGATGGTTTCAAAGGTTAGTATTTTAAAATATGTGCACTTATAAAGCTAACATTAAAAGGTATTTCATCATATTATTCCTCCCTAAACAGGTTACACCCCAGTGATCTGGTTACCTTTCCTACTTCTAGTGCTGACTCTAGTTTTCCCCCAGCCCCACTCCCTTGCTTCCTTCTAATCTGCTTCAAATCAGTAAGCATTTATTAGGCACCTATTATGTGCCAGACATTGTGCTATGTACTGGGAATACAAATACAAAAATGAGACAATCCCTAATCCATGAGAAACAGAGTTCACATTCTACTGTACTTACATAAATTTATTCAACTGGATCCATGATCTCATGGATTCAGGATTTCCTCCTAGTAATGAAGATCACAACCCATCCATACTTACCCATCCTATGTGAATCTCATTATGGCCACCTAGAATTCACCACAGGAGTTCCAAATAGTATGTTAGAGGCCTTCCTCAAGTTCTCCCAACATTTAAGGAAGATCACGGAAACACTCTAGCCATCCATATCGCTTCTGCCATATAACCAGTCCATTTTCTTTCTGTCATACTGACTGCATCCTTTATTCCTATTCTTCAGAGTTCCTCACTGGTTATACGACACAGCCTTCTCACTTTACCTTTCCACTGCCCTCTCTGCCATACAGCAACAAAGTCAAAAAAAATTTTATTGAAAAGTTGGGCCTGTGCTATTAAGGGAAGCTTGAGGGTCAGTAAAAGTGCTTTGCAATTTTCTGAAAGCAAGCTAGTTCACTCTCCTCCTTTTTCAACTTTAGGCCCACCTCACTGTCTGTATAATCTGCCTTAGATACATAGACTGTTAGATAAGCTCTACAGAGTATCCATTTGGATGAATGTTAAAAGCATTCTTCATCCATTTGGTCTTTCTGGTGTGGACAGACATGACAAACTCCCACTGAATGATTACAATTTTTTTCCAGGAAGATCTGAAATGTCTTGGGGGTTGATGAAATCAATGTTATCCACAAATAGGATTATTTGGGAAACCTCACAATTCATAATAAAACATCTTTGGAAAGCCTGCCAAGATAAACAAAGTTATCCCAAGGTCATTTAAGGATTGAGACAGAAAAAGGACTACAAAAATAAGAAAAATAGAATAAATTTTTAAGAACTACCACGACAAATTTTCTCCAAAAAGAACACTGGAACCATCATACCTGGACCCCAATATCACAATTCCAGAAGTACTTACAAAGTAGAAATGGTACTAAAGAGAAGAAAAGATAGGAAAAGTAGCCAGATTGAATCACCTATATAAAGAGGAAATTTTGCTGGCAGCAATACAATCAGGAGAGCATTGAGGGAACAACATACAAGGCAACCACAGGAGGAGAGGACCCCAAAGGCATGGAAAGATCTCAAACTTCTAATATAAAAAAAAAAGTGACTAAAACAATATTAACAACTAATGACCTATAGGTCTATTCTCTCATCTCTATAAAAAAATATTGCACGAATACCATTTATAAATGAATTGCAGTCATAATCAATGAGGTTACTAGAAGGCATTCTTAAGGAGGTTACTAAAAAAGGACAAATAGGCTTTTGCAAATGGTATTTAACACTGGACCACATCTACATCACACAGCTGACTAAACAATGTAAAGAACACAAGATCTTATTATGCCTAATGTTTATTAATTACAAAAGAGGCAGCACAGCACAGTATATAGACAACTGGCTTTGGAAAAGGGGAAACCTAGATTCACTAGGTTATATACTCGCCGTGTGATCCTGAACATCTCATAACCTCTCAGTGCTCTTGGCAATTTTCTAAAACTGCAAGTTTCAGGAGAAGTGCTGCCTTGCACTGGCAGAGGAAATTCTTTATCAAATACTGCCAACATCAATGAAATCACAGAACCAGCCCCTAGCCCTAACAACAAAAAAAGCAATGCACTCAGGAGAACAAATCATTGCCTTATACAATCTTCGATGACATGTCTCGCATGACAATAGCAAAGTCATCTAAAAGATGGTGCTTAAGCTGCTTACTGAGAAAATAAGGGATTGTTTAAGGTAGAGGTGAAGAGGGAGTGCATTCCAGGTATGGAGGCAGCCAAGGGCAAAGGAAAAGAGACAGAAGATAGACGGCTATGTGTGACAGACAGAAGGCCAGTTTGGTCTTGTAAAATATGAGAAGGGAAGTTACATAATGAGACTAGAGAAAATATAACAGGGCTAGTTATGAATGGTTTTAAAAACTAAACAAGAATTTAAGATTTTATCCTAGGGGCAACTAAAAGCCACTGGATCTTCACTGGGTAGGTGTATAGCATGGTCAGATTAGTCCTTAAAGGAAAATCACTTTGTCTGCTGCTTGAAGGATGGATCAGAGCAGAGGAAGACTTGAGGCAGGGAAATTA